TCCTTCAACAACTCTTTAAAATCACAAACTCTTCATAAACCTAATCATCAAATCTAATCACACAATCATCTTCACCGTGAAATTATGGTACCAAATGATGAAGAATTTCCTGTAGATTAATTCTCTATGTAATAGCTAAACTCAAAAATAAAGTAAATAGCTTCAAAAATAAAACTAAAAATTCTTACCTTGAAGAACTTCAAGTTTCGGCCCTTGGAGAGTTTGCTGCTGAAAATGATAAAGTTTCTTGATTATTCTAATAATAATTAATCCTAACACATGGCTTAATAATAATATAATTGAATTTTTTATTCAATTATTAAGAAATTCCATTTTTCCATTAATGAAACTTAAAAATTATCAATTGCCATTGTCATATTACCCATTAAAATATTCCTTCGTCAAAGATGAATCAACTTGGGTTTGACTTTTCACTTTGGCCATGCAATTTTTTTAAAATTGCATTTTAATCATTAAAATTCCATTATTTCAATCAAATCTGAAAAATTGCACTGTTCTGAGCCAATTTTCTCTGATCTAAATTATGAAAAATAATATTTCCAACTATTTTCTAACATATTTAAAATTTTTGTAAAATTTTGGTTCGATCCGAATATATGAGTTCAATATCGATCTTTACCACTTTATAGCTTTTAACACAAACCCCGTACTGAAAATCTAATTCCCACAAAATTTTTTGTTTTAATCCAAACTTTTCACTTAAATGCTAAAATATATAACTTTTAAAAATTATAATTTTGGTCTCCAAACTTTTCAAAGTTTATACTTTAGCCACTAAATTTTCAAAACTTACATTTTAGTCACTAGACAAAATTTGGGGTATTACACATATCTAAAATGATATCGGTACCCTAAGAGAGAAGTATTGGTACTCCATATAAGAGTATTGATACTAAAGGGTTTCCTCAAAACATCGAATGTAAAAACAGTATCAGTACCAAGAGTAAGTACTGATACCCAAGGGTTATTATTGATACTGGAAGGCTTAGTATTGATACCATCAGACATATTTTGGCAAGAATCCTAGATCTAGTTTAGGGTCTCGGGAAAGGGTTAAAAATTTTCAAAACTTCTCAAATAAGCTTGCAATTGAGAACAATGACTAAATACGTTATACGAATAAGAACGCTAAAACTTATGCCTTTGTGTGACGCTCGGGAAATAACAAGGACACCCAAGTTACTTTAATAAGTATGACAATCGTCTTGTTTGATTAGAAATATTCAGATATACCTCAGCTAGTGCTAAGGCACTTATTTTTCTAGTTAGGCACATATGCCCTAGTACTCACAAGGAGTAAGTTAGCCAGGTGCATGTTTCTAATGCAGGAATTCAGATCTCACCTTAGGTACTCTAGGGTATCTTAGGTAGGCTAAAGGGGTGTGAGTCATAAGAGCAGTAAACCCTCCGACCAAACCATGAAGCTTGCCTCAACTTGTGTGTTTAATGTCCTTGTATATTTATGGTTATACCTGTTAGCATGCCCCTGTGATGAAAGCATGTAGCATAGTAGAGTTATTTGTGTCACACTAAGCTTGTGAGCTCAACATTCATAATTTTGTTTCTGTGCATAGGTTCTTAGAAGGTTTCTCAAGGAGCTTATCGTTGGTTCATGTTCTAGATTCACCGAGTCACCGAGGCATCAGAGTATGTCTTGAGTATATCTTAGAGGGCATGTACTATTCATAGACCTTTATGTATTTGAGTTGTAACTCTATTTTGATATAATTATTATGATGTTATTTTGGGATGTATTTGAGAGCTTCCCGTTTTTGTAAACTTGTTATACTTATGTTTTCCATACATGATTTCAAATGACAATAATTTATGATGATTATAATGTCGTTTCAAAAGAAAAAATTTGGGTTAGCCACTTCGGTTGTTCCATTTAATGCTTTAATCCTTTCATCTTCAGATCGGATCGGATTAGGGTGTTACAAGCTATGAGCAACAACATCCATAGCTATTTGGACCAAATAAGAAAATTTGAGGACTAAGTTTTCTTAAGGGGAAGAGTTGTAAGAACTTAGAGATCCTTTAAGGACAAAACCAATATTTTTAAAAACAAGTTCATGGCTAGTGGAATAATTTCCTTAAATCACGTTGTTAAATATGAATATTAAATAAAGGATTAAATTCTAGAAATTGATTTCATAGAAGAATAAGGATTAAAGTAAAAGAAAATAATTATTTAAGTCTAAGTCTAAAGTGAAAAAAGACAAAAGTGATACTTTTTAATGAATAATTTTCACTTATAAGTTTATGGAAACTTATACAAACAATTGTTAATGACCATTGGATCTAGACGAACTTTACATATCTAATAATAGACCTTGGATTCAATAATATTAAGGAATATTTAAATGGAAAAAATAGATTTATTAGTTAATATTAAGGAATATTTTAAATGGAAAAGAAGAGACTTACACTAAATAGGAGGGGAAAAGAAACAACTAAAAACATCTCTTCCTTCTCAAGCTTGAACGAATAAAGTTATATTTGTGTTAATTTGTTTATTTTTGAAGATGTTCATGTTCAGTTCGTGTTTATTTAAATTTTCAGTATCATGTTCATGTTTGTTTATTTAATTTTTGAAAATGTTCGTATTCGTTCTTTTAGCATTCGCGAATATGCTTGTTTAATGTACGTTTAATGTTCGAAAAGCAACACTCTCTTTTCAAATTTTTATTTGTAAGTCAAAGGAAATGCTAAAATTACACCAATAGTCCTTAAGGTCCTTAGGCTTCACAATTTAAACTCTAAAGTTCACCATATGTTCAATTTTCTTTTTTATTTTTGAGTTCGAGTCAAGTCGAGTCGAGCTCAATTTTAAACTTTTTGGATTAAGTCGAAATACTCGCACTCGACTCGACACATTTACAGCTCTAATCTTAACGTACTTAATAGCAAGCAATGATCAAATTCATCAAGTTAAGTGAAAACTCGTGCTCCATTCATTACAAGAACATGGAGCAAATCCATAACAATGCATATGCAGGCAGCTAAAATTTCACTTTTGAAAATCCAAAACCGGATATGCTGTGTTGAGCGATGCAGCTCTAAATCCTACCGAAACTACGCAGAAGGCAGGGACTCAGTCTGGCTGCAGGACATTTAACAGCTCCCTTAAATTGTAATCTCTAATTGTTCACTTCATTCATAATAACATCATACAACTACAGCTGGAGGTAAAAAAAATTACAGAAAATCGAAAAACTGAGTGAAAAACCTGAAGTTTAGGCAACCAACGATACCTAAACTGATGTTTTTTTAGATTCATGTATAGATGGCTCATCAAAATATAAAATTCAGGCACATAATACTTGGGAATCAATAGTACCTACCGTGCGTTCCCTAGTACTCATTAAAATGTATAGCCCCAACTTTCCATACTATGTAAGTTGTAGTGAACATTACCGTGCTGATAAAAACGACCGAAAATATGATGAGAAGTAGATCGTTTCCCCCTGGAAACTGAAAAGTGAGGCCTGGCTTTGGTAATCCTCTCTTGTTGTCATCAAACAAATTCGTTGGTGCTTCGGGAAGTCGACTTCTCTTTTTCCCCTTATCACTTTCCCTCATAGCATCCAGTACTTTACTTCCCATCTCTGATTTTGATGGATTCGACTCTGTGCAGGGCCGGTCCAATGAGTTTTAATGCCCTGGGCGAAATAATAATTTTATGCCCCTATACTTGTACCGTATAATAGACAAAACATAAATAATTTTTTTAAAACAAAAATGTAATAGAAATTATAATCAAACAATATCAATACTAATACAAACCAAAACCTACAAGGCTACAAATATCACCTAAAACGATGTCTTCGTGCATTTTTTGAAACAAAAACCTCTATTATTTTACGATAATCAAGACTTTGCAAAAACCTAAAACGAGAAACGTTCATCACTCCGCTGCTATCCTTATCGAGCAGTGAAATTTTAAAGCATATGGTAAAAAAAGTCCCTTTAACATTGTCACATGAATGCTTCTTCATTTAATTCGATACTTATTTAACCTATTTGATCCAAAAAGCCAAATACAATTACCAAGTTAAACCAAGTAGTCAAATAAAAGGGCCAATTTGAACCTAAATTTTGGTATGGAGGGCAGTGAAAGGCTGGTTTACGCCCCGGCATCAACAAATATTCCTTTGAGCCTTTTTCTGCATTTGATGGGTATGTTTGTTTATTCATAAAAATCTCATCTCCAAGTTGAGCTCCATTTGCCTACCTGGATGCACCAGAATCTTTCACTTACATTTACAAAAGATATGAACATTCATTTTTGTTTTATGACTGCAGGACGGGAATTAAAGAAGGCGCGGAGTGGTTAGTGGAGGTAATGGAGAGAAGCAAGAAAACTGAAATGTTGAGAAATCGTGCAGGTGTGGCCGGTCCTTACTCCTTAGAGCTTTAGAGGGGTGAAAATATACCAGGTTAAAGTTGGCTTTGCCCTGCTCTTGTAGCTTTCTTTCAAATAAACTCTGGGTTCACGTTAGATTTTATCGTTGATTAAAAGTTGATCGATTTTTACAAATTATTAGTTGATTTAACAGAACGAAACTTTAGGTTTCTTAAACAAAGAGATTCAAATTCTAACATTGTGAATGAAGTAAATTAAATTAGAACGATCACTCCATGATAGACTTTTGCGTTACTCGATCTAAATAAGTCGATAAATGAACCAAATACCGTCTGATTATAACATAAAAGTTGAGAAAGAATTCAATGTGAAAGGTGCTAGCATTATTAGCATTATTGTTCTCCAATGATACATTTTGGTATTTGCATTATTGTTCTCCAATGGAACTCTCAAGAACAAATACATTCAAGGATATCCCTTGGAAACATCAGTTTTAGACTGAAAACACCATCATCCAGACAAGTAAATTACAACCAACATTGATCAAAATGACAAATATACGAGCATTTATAATATCTGATTATGATTAGTCAAAAAGTAGTATCAATGGATTTCATACTGATTGCTTCCGTGCAGCAGCATCTGTAGTGTTAGCCTTTTCCTTAACTGCCAAAGATCAAAACCCATGCTTCATTAACTGCAAATTGTGGAAAAGCTTGAAAATTTAAGAAATCAAAGTTAAAGATGTACCAGAAATGAGGGCTATAGGCCTAGACTTGAAGAAAATCTTGTGGCGAATAACCCCAACAACATCGAGCTCCGCACTTGATGAAGAAGCGCCGTCACTCCGATCAACGCCCATGCACTTGGTTTTCTTCAGCACCACCATGGGCTTTTTCAGCTCCACTTTCGACCCCGTTAGTTCATGATCATGATACCCGATCGTAAAAGTGTAGATCCCCTGAAGAATTTCTATTTTAAAAGTTCCTAAAACTGTAAATAACCCAGAGAGGAAACAGCAAAACAAAAAGAACCCGGGAAGAAGGGCGGCAGAGCTGTTCAATTTGGAGATCTTGGAGAGGATCTTGGAAAGAAGGCTGCGATTCAATCACGCCCTGTAATTCGATTTTTTCCCATTCTGGGCATTTCTCTTCTCCACATCTACACTTCACCTGATTCTGCATCTTTTTATTAAAAAAAAAAAGTAACAAATCCGTTGAGTTTCTCCCCAGCAGTATGATGCCCCCTCAAATATGCTGCCTTGGGCTGTCGCCCATCTGGCACATGTATTGGGCCGGCCCTGACTCTGTGTAACGGCTGAGAACCCGGGCTGCCCTTAATCTTTCTTTAGCCGTTAGAGAAACTTTTCTTGTCGTGGACTGCAAGTTTGGAGATGGCGACACCTCCTCCTCTGGATTTGAAGAAACCATTGAACCATTACTAACCTCAGAATTTTGATCATCCAATGATGGAAGATTCACGGCCGAAACCCGATCATCGGAAACCAGTCTCTCAGCCTCTCCGGAATCCTTTATGGTGCTATCCGCAGAAAGTGGGTCGCTGCCCGCCAGTGAAAGACACAGTCCCCATCTTTTTTGGTGTATAAATCCCCCAGAGCCATACATTTGCAAGGGAGAAACCATGGGGTTGGCCTTAAGTACTGAAGCTCCAACAGAAGATCTCCAGACATACTGATATTCAAATTACAACTTCAATTAATAAGATAATAGACGGAAACTGAATAGAGCCACCAGTATACATAAATAAAGGAAAAGGAAATCGGACAAAGAAAACAAGTTATTCCATTAATCCATTTTTGTTTTCGTTTTACTTATTGCTTCGACCACTTAAGTTTTCAACTATTGATGAGGCTGAGAAGGTGAAAAATTGGAGAACCCAATTGTAAAAACAATCGAAAATGGCATATAAGCTTTCGTAAAAACAAAAGAAGCCAATCCATTTACAAGAAACTGTCTAAAACAAGCGGAGAGAAACGAAAAGCAAAGTAGTAACAGTAATTATTATAAAACAAGGTATAGATTTGGGTTTATTACCTTAAAATTGAAGCCGAACACTGAGTTAAGAGAAATAGTCATGCTTCGGTTTTGTGGCAACCATAGAGAAGATATCAGAGAGAAATCTACATCTGAAAGGGAGCGTATTATGTGGCCATGAAGTTACCAAATCAAAAGAGATCGGCTATTCTATTTTTCAACCACCGCCATTCAATGAGCGTGATAGACACGCTTTGATCTTTTGCCTTTTATCTCGCGTTCTACAAAATACATAAAAGGACCTCGTATTTTATAAGGCACGAGACAAGTTCCACATGCGAGCACTTTTTAGAGAAAATAATTTAATATTTGGATAAATGACTTTGCGTTTTACAAAACACTAGATCCACGTGAAATTGAATCGCTTGAGCAATTTATAGCGGGTTGTATTTTTAACCTCGCATCCTATAGAATACGAGGTTTGTACATTTCCAGCCCACATTGCAAGTGTTTATAGGCATGTTCAAAATGTATTTTTGGGTAGTTAATCTAATTTTTTTTATAATATTAGAGGTGTAGTATTAGAACTTATCTTAGTAGAGGTCAATATCTATACATACAGGATATTGTAAGCGGATTAAAAATCGCGTTGAAAAAGGTTCCAAAACTTGTTTCGTGCATGTAGAAAAAGCTAAAATGGTTTAAAAGACATATACAAGGGGTATTTTCGGGTAGTTAATCTAAATATTTTTGTAATTTATAAGATTAGAGGCGTATTATTGTAATTTATCTTTCAATTGAGGGTAATATCAGCACATACAAAACATTGTAAGGGGGTAAAAATTGAATTGAAAATGGTTCCAAAACTTTGTTTTGTGCATGAAGAATAAGCTAAAATGACTATATAGGCATGTTCGATGAGTATTTTAAAGAAATTAATATTAAAATTTTTGCAATTTATAATATTAAAGGTGTAATATTGGTACTTATGTTTCAATTGAGGCTAGTATTAGCATTGTAAACGGTGTAAAAAATGTATTGAAAATGGTTCGAAACCAAAAGAAATTGAAAATTGGTTAATATATTTTGTTAATTACAAAAGTAGTAAAATGAAAACACACAATTAATTGATACAAGGACATGATCGATTATGACATTTGTTCTTCATGTTTCCTGGATTCCTATAGATAGTACGTAGTTTCTATTTTTTTTGGTTCTTTCTCGATGTTTAACCAAATCCTCGTCATAGTAAATTTGCATTGATTGTGGACGACCCTTTTTGCTCGTCGTAGTGCAAAATATGACCGTATTAATCATCAACTTCATCCAAATCCCATTCATTTCCAATGGGGGAAACTCGTATTGATAAACATTAAATACAGTTTCAAGTAAGTATACCGGATCAACAAATGTTATGTAGTGAATTTGTACAACAAAAGTAGTAATAACGTGCACACATGGATATTTGAATATTTGGAATACTCCACAGTCGAATGTTCATTCTCGTAGATTAACCACGTATGTGTTGTGCTATATGCCTCCCAATGGCCTCGAATATTCTGAAACATGAAATTCATTTTGTTCGCGACAGACACATGTCATATTCATCGTATTTGAATGTTGGAAAAATGTTTGGAATTTTGAAAGAAGGTTTGGGTGGACTATTTGACAACCTGCCATCCAGTCAAATGCTTGTTTTCTCAAGGTTTCAAAAAGGGTTACCAACCAATAATATGTTGCTTTGACAACGAAAGTGATATGACAATCTCATACTCCCTTCAGTGATGAATTGATCGCCTTTGTCAAGTTGGTTGTTATGTGATCATATCATCTACCTCCATCAAATACTCGAAGCCAAATCTCCATCAAGATTTTAGCAAGGTATTTATAGCCTTATTGATTATTATCTCTCAATTCTTGAAAGCAACTCATCAACTTCACGTATGGAATACGTGTGGCCTACCCTTTAAAATTGTAACAGTTAATTAGAAATAATAAATGAAAAGATATCTTAAACCCAAAAGAGTGAAATATGTATTGATCCGAAGAACTATTTTCATCTTCAGTCTTAAACTTTTGCAAATAATTTGCAGCAATATGGAATAAGCAATATTAGTGATAAATATAGGGTGGTTTCCAAGACTGGTTCATACGTTGGATTGTGTATTTGATCCTTGAGCCTCTGTCGAAAATAACAAATATCTCATCATATCTACCACACAAAAACATGTGATAGAACATGTCTTCGTAAGTTCTTAAGGAAGAATTCCCCAGAGTCTACATATTTCTTTTCGACTATTGTGAAGGTGATGAAAATAGTTTTCCTATTGTTGTTTTGTGCAATAATAATTGTATTTGTGTGTATTTGTTTTACAACCAAGTATCATCGATCTGAACCATCAGCTTGCAGTTGCAAAATGCATTAACGCACTACGAAAATATCCAAAATAGCAGTTGAATTGGCACATACCTTGTATGACATGATCATTTTCATACGTTGGTACAATTTTCAGTTTCACAATCCTTGGTATGTGTTTTTACATCAATTTTAACCATGGTCGTAACTCTTTGTACGATTCCTCCCATTGGCCATATAATTTTTGTTGAGTCTGAGACCTTGCATGACATATTTTATGGTAATCAACTATGTAGTAGTATTGCGATGTAATTGCAGCAATACAAGTGCCAACTGTTATACGTGGATTTTTTTTGACCAATGGAATAAAGACATCACAAAGCACGTACGCATCCAAGTTATGATGATCCTGATTGAGGTTGTTGATGGTGCATGTATAAGGTTAGACGTATTTTGTGAGCTTCCACATGTTGTTCATTGCCTTTAAACGTGATATATAAACCCTCCAATTATATCTTTTCTTTTTGTAGACACATTCATCAATGTACTTGGATGCATCTATTTTTTTCACAGTCCACGTGACTGAGCGGCGTATAATATATTTTTTAGTGGCAGAATAATGACTTCTTTTATCCTAAAAGTCATTCTAATATAGAGTTTACCATCACCACATTGGTTAAATTACTCAATACATTGGTTCTATTTCTCAATATTGATAGAGAAGCGGCAGCGAATGATGTGAATATTGCTTCATTGAGGAAACAAACCTTGGAAGGTTTTAGATTCGATGAAGAAATAAAAGGCTTTGATTGGAATGTTTGAAGGTGGTGATAAGATTAGGGTTTTGAAGAAACTTTAGTTACTGAAAAATATACAAAGAAGTTAAGATTAAGACAATAAAAACAAGGGTAATAAGACTAAAGAAGAATAAAGACAAGACAAAACAAGGAACACAACATGTAATAAAGAAATAATAGATCTTCACTTTTGAAGGTGGTGCCCAAAGTTAGGGTTGTTGGATTTTGATGGATGAATTTTGGATGAAAAGATGATAAAAAGATGAAGAAGATGGTGAAAATGGAATTAAGATCGGATGGCTGAATTAAGAGAAAAACATATTTGAAAATTTACACCTGGTAGTATGGTATGTAACGCAAACCCTAGGGTTTATTTATGGTAATGGTGTGATGATGGAGATAGGTTAAGAATGATGATGGATGATTAAATTAGATGGATATGTCCTATCGAGCCCTCCTAGTTGTAATGAAAAGGCAAACCCAATAATACGACTCTAACCAACCCTCCTAACCGTAATGAAAAGGCAAAGTGGAGTGCGAAGAACTCTCTCTCAAGAACTCATAATAACTAAAGAAGAATATGCTTAGAATACACAAGGCAATCAGCTCTTACAAAAACAAACTCTCGTTGTATTGCATATAAAAGAAGAAAAGTTGTGATTTACAATGGGGGGAGCCTCCTTATATAGTGTTTGAGGAGTCCTTGGGGAAACATGATTAATGAATAAAATAATAATAAATTATTAGAAAAATAATGAAAAAAGCTATCCTAAATCCTTGTATGGTGGGCAAAATTAAATAGTAGCCATTGATGAAGCTTTGATCTGATGGTGTAGATGAAATATGATTAGAAGAGCTTTTAAAACTTGATGAACGGTCCAGATCTTTCTTCTGGAAAGTGAAGAGGTGGCATAGATAAGAAGGGGCTCTTGATAGATGTACATGCTTATGATAAGTATGGGCAAATGGTTTTGATAAGTTATCAAGGCCTGTGAAGGTGGGCTTGGCGTGATGGGCTATGTAGGTGGATAATAAGCCATCAAGAGTTACATTCAATGGCTTAAGTGGGCCTTATTCTAAAATTAAAATAAAATATACTAATAATTACTAAGACTACAAGTTATCTCAGTTTTATAAATGTTGTACTAGGTAACTTTACAAAATGTTGGGCTCAGAGTGGTTCAAACTCAATTATGGGCATATCTCCTTGGGATTCACAATTGGGCTTGGAAAGGACTTGAGTTGTTATCCACGTTGATGAGGGAGGAAGAATGAGTGATTTTCATTCCGTGAATTCTTGAAACTCCATGTGGGCATGGAGGCCTTTGCTGACGAAGGCGAGGATTGCAGTTTGGAGTTGATCTTTGAGTAATTTGGCCCATCCACTTGTAATTGGGCTTGGAGTCACATGTGGTGCATGTATCAAATCTGTGGTAGTTGCAAAATTTTCAAGGCATTGAAAGCTTCTATGAATGGTTATGGAGTGGGATGGTGGTTAATAATAAGAAAAAGGAGCGGTAGCATATGGAATGTCATCATCATTCGCTCCCATTGGTATGTCAAGGTCTTCTGGTTTTTCATTAAAGAGGAATACCTCTTCACCATTACAGCCGGTCTCCCTTACCGGTTCTTCATCAGAATTATCCCTCTCAAATTGAAATAATTCTACATCATCGAATGCATTTATAACAGGTGTAGTAGTTGTGCGTCAATCATGAAACCGCTCATGAACTGTATTACAAAGATCAAAGTCGACATTACTAGCACAAGAATGTCTCCCCAAAGATGTTGACACGTAATCCACACTAGGGATATACGTTGAATATCATCTATATGAGAAATCATCGAAGGGGATAAACACTTCATGGTCTTATGACCTTTTGTCATGCTGAGAAGATGACTCTGCCACACTAGTAATGAATGGATTGTACGTTAAATGATGTATCATTTGCAGGTTGAGGTTAAGGTCAAAGCTAGCTATGCAAGAATGTCTTGGCATCGAAGACAATGATGTGTCCAAGTCATTGCGTGTACTA